CCCAGCACTTTGGGAGGCCGAGGCAGGTGGATCACCTGAGGTCAGAACTTTGAGATCAGCCTGGCCAACATGGTGAAACTCCATCTCTACTTAAAATACAAAAATTAGCTGGACGTGGTGGCACATGCCTGTAATCCCAGCTACTTGGGAGGCTAAGGCAGGAGATTCCCTTGAACCCAGGAGGCAGAGGTTGCACTGAGCTGAGATTGTGCCACTGCATTCCAGCCTGGAGAGCAGAGCGAGATTCCGTCTCAAAAAAAAAAAAAAAAGAGGAAAGAAAGAAGAAATATTTGGAAATAAAAAAGACTCAGGATAAAGTAAAGGGAGGACCAAAAGCAGAATTTGAAGAAATTTCATCTGGAAAAATACCAAATTGATTGCAACAAAAGAAAGAGGAGATGCAAGGAGATGATTTAAGAGAGATTTGAGTAATCTTGGAAAGATCCAAATGTATTTTTAGAATGTTCTCTGATTAACCTGGGAGAGAAGAAGGACCATGAAGCCTCATTGCCTGGGTTCAATTTCCAGGCTCCTCTACTTGCTAGCTCTGTGACCCTGACACATAACAGCACCTACCTCACAGTGTTGAAAGTACCTAAATCGATTATTAGCTGTGATTATTGCAATCATTTTTATTAACAAGCTCTGAAAGTTCATATGATTTCTTATCATATAGTTTGAGAAACTTCATGGGTCCCCCAGCCTTTATGTTTTAAGCAAATGAACTAGATATACTAAGCAGAATATGGGATCCAGTCTAAAATCCGACTATAGATTTGGCAGAATTCTGTCCAATATGCCTAATTGATCCCTAAAACAATGATGTTATTTTCTTTTCCCTTTGAAATTTTCTAGACTCTCTGCAGCACAAGCAATAAGTGTCTTAACCCAAAGATTTTCTGTGCTTACATCTTGGACACATCTTATAACTTCTGATGCCACTGCCAAAAGTTATCAGATGTCTTCTGCTGTCCCCTGCATTAATGCTTTTTCTTGTTTCTGTTCTGATGGTGACTTTTTACTATAAATCAGCTGTTAACTAAGACTTTAGACTTTAGTTTTCCTTCAAACGTTTAAGTGCACAGCTTAAAATACAAAAAAGTACCAAGTTTCTCCCTTCTCTATGCCAACTAATGAGATGCCAGGGACAAACGAACATAGAAATCACCTATGTCTGAAATTAAACCTTCCTAGAGAAACGTTGCTCTTCCCAGATCCTTCTTCTCTTTGTAGTTGAATGAAAACACTACATTAGGCCAAAAAAAAAAAAAAAAAAAAAAAAGCTTCTGAAACAAGTATTTACACAATTTTAATTCTAACTAAATATGTGAAAGGAAAATGGATGGCAAAGGATAAAGATGGGTCTTTAAAAACCCTCTAAATTTTGCTATGCCATTAAACTGGTGGCAAATGGTGTGATACAGAATAAAAGTGAATCAAATTAATTACAACCAAATGTATAAGATTTTATAGGAAGATATTTTAGAAATGCTAATTATTTTTACATCAAGTTCATTAAATCTTTCCAATTCATATACTTTTGCTTATAACTGATATATAACCTACTATGTCTGAACTATATAAATCTCTTTGCTGTGATATTTTGTTTTGTTATTCATTCATACATCTTAATTTGTATACATCATAATGAGTGTGATAAAATATTTAAAAACAATAAAAATGCATTTCCCAAGGGCTTTCCAGCTTCCCTCTTCCCCCAGTTTTGCCATAATCTGCAATAATCAGATTTCATATAAATCATCTAATAGAATCACATAACTTTATTTTTAAAAGGTAGCTGAAAGGAAAAGTAAAATAAACAGTAAAACCAAGGGTTATTTTTCTAAAATGCTTTTATTTACTTTTAATTCCAAACTCTCACAAAATATAAACACTGGTCCCCTACATAATTGCAAAGGATTAGAATTAAGATATAGGCAGTAGTATTTGTTTAAAAAATAAATTGTTATTTATTCTGAATAATGACAGTTAAGCATTGATGAAGTAAAGCAAATTCCTAGACATTACTCCCTAATAATTACGCTGGGCAGTGGGGCAAAACATGCCAATTTCTTTCAGAAATACATCAAAATATTTGAGTATTCAGTTGGGTCAGCTATTTTGGTAGTCTTTCAAAGCAACTTACATTAATTATGATCAAAACAATTATTTCTAAACAAACATCCAACTTCTTAAACATATCATGAAGGAGAAAACACTAAAACATAAAGAAGAGGACATGGGAACCTACCTCATGCACAAGAGCAAGTGAAGTCTGCTTGAAACTTCGCCCTCTACTGGCCATCAGTCTATTCAATGGTTTTCCATCTTTACTCTGATACATGGAAACATCGTAGCAAAATAACATACCACCTTTAAAAAAAAGTTATAAAGACTTTTTTGTTTTTTTAGACAGAGTCTCGCTCTGTTGCCTAGGCTGGAGTGCACTGGTGCAATCTCAGCTCACTGCAACCTCCACCTCCTGGGTTCTGCCTCAGCCTCTTGAGTAGCTAGGACTACAAGCGCGTGCCACCATGTCTGGCTAATTTTTGTAAGTTCAGTGGAGACGGGGTTTCACCATATTGGCCAGGCTGATCTCTAACTCCTGACCTCATGATCCGCCTGCCTCGTCCTCCCAAAGTGCTGGGATTACAGGCGTGAGCCACCACGCCCAGCTTATAAAGACATTTCTTATGGAAAAACTTTACTAATTAGATTCTCAGAAACTGATAATCTGGATAGAGATATTTATAAATAAAAGCTAACTTGTTAAGCAAATTATGATTTCTGACCATTTATGTATAAGGAATTAAAAAACACAAGAGATTTTAAAAAGCTAGTATTTAAAATATTATTGGGACAGGTGTGGTGGCTCACACATGTAATTCCAGCACTTTGGGAGGCCAAGGCAGGCAGATGGATCACTTGAGGTCAGGAGTTTGAGACCAGCCTGGTCAACGTGATGAAACCCCATCTCTACTAAAAATGCAAAAATTAGCCAAGCATGGTGGCGAACACCTGAAATTCCAGCTACTCAGGAGGCTGAAGCAGGAGAATCGCTCGAACTAGGAGGTGGAGGTTGCAGTGAACTGAGATTGTGCCACTGTACTCCAGCCTGGGCAACCAAGGGAAACTCTGTCTCAAAAATATTAACGTAACATAATATAATATAATATTATTACTTATTGACTTATAGTTTTTTAGTTAAGATCACATATGAAATATTTACAATTTACTTATGAATAAATAAGCATAAGTATAAATAAATGAACAAATTTGCAATTCTTGACTTAGTTTGTGAATTGTTAGTTCTAGAGAGTCTATTAAGTTTTTTCAAAATTTCAACTAAGGATAAATACTTGCACATATTAATCTTCATGAACACATGATAACATGGGTCCCTTTAGTTTATACTCACAAATGGACAAGCTTTCCCTCATTCCTGTATTCACATATACTTACTCTCCCTCTCCCTGCCCTTTCCACAATGGTCAACTAAGCTCTCAGCTGAACCTCCAGCTTATTTATGTTTTTTATTACACTGAGTTTCATTATCTTTATTATTTCTTCCCTTATCCTTTAAGTTTGATTTGCTGTTCTTTTCCAAGCTTCTTGAGATGGAAGTTCAAATAATGACTATTTTCCTTTCTTTTCTAAAATATACATTGAAAGTGTAAATTTCCCTAGAGGGGAAACAGTGTTTAGAAATACTATTTTAGCTACAACCTACACGTTGTTATATGGCTTATCTTCATTATCATTCACTTCAAACTACCTTCTAATTTCCATTTTGATTCTTTTCTCTGATCCATCCATTACTTATAAGTATACAGTTCAATTTTCTACCTACTGGAGATATGGTAATCATTTTTGTTATTTATTTTTAGCTTAATCCCATTGTCATCAGAGGACAGACTCTAGGTGACTTCAATATATTGAAATTTATTGAAGTTTGTGGTCCAGTGTATGGTCATTTTGGTAAATTTTCCATGTACAGGTAAAAAATATATAAATTCCATCACTGTAAGGTACAATGTTCTACATGTCAATACAGTAGTTTGTTCATAGTATTGTTCAAATATTTTGTAATTTTATTGATTTTCTTGTCTCCTCGCTCTGCCAGTTACTAAAAAAGATATTTTAAAGTTTCCATTATTATTGTGGGTTTGTCTATTTCCTCTTTTAGTTCTACTCATTTTTGTCATATATTTTGAAAGTATGTTATTTCATGTAGGCCAATTAGAATTGATATTTTCCAAACAGAGTGACTTCTTTTTCTCCATGAAATATTCCCTTCATTTCCAGCTTCTTCCTTTGTCCTGTGTCTAATACAGTATATGAAAAAACTACAGAAGCACTAAATGATATCATTGTTAATCAAAGAGTAGTTTTCCTCTCCCCTCTGTTAGGCAGACTGGGTGAAGGACCAATTACTTCAACCTAATCAGGAATTGATCTGGGTTAGGATTGATTATAATTTTTGTAATTTGAGTCCAGCTCTGGTTCACTCCTTTGCCAGGGTATATCTCCCACAACACCCCCCACTAATTGGCAGTTTAATGAGTCTTTGACTCCTCAATCTGAAACAATTATGGGAGATTTAAGTCTGCCCTCAGAAATTTTCAGCTTAGCTCTTTAGCTTTCCATCCCATAAAGCTTCAAAATGTTGCAAATAACTTAAGAGAGAAATTGCCCATGTGCTCAAGGTCACTCTAGTTCTGAATTGTGTCACTCTGGCGCCACATGATTGCCAAGATGTCTGTTGGTTTCTCCACCTCCTCACCAGCCTCTCACTAAAGTTGAGCCTGAATGCTCAGATTCCAGCTGTGGCCAGAATTAGTAAGTTCACCCAGGTGAGAGCAGTTGCAGATCTTCAGTATCAATTCACCATTCTCTCTAGGGCTTTTACCTCTTGCATGCTGTTTTTCCAAGATCATTCTCCTAGCTCGTCTTTGTTTCCTAAGTATCAGAAGACTAAAAGGGATTTCACTTTGCCTTTCAGAACCTTTCAGCCTAGCTCTTTAGCTCTTGGTGCAAATTCCAAATTCAGCAAATGTCCTATGAGAAAAATCTCTAATTTGTTGCCCTAGTCTCAGGCAATCACTAAAAGCTCCTCTGGTTTCTCTTTCTTCCAACAGGTCATGCCTGCGGGCTGAGTGGGTATCCCCCAAGGTGGGGAAAAAACAGCTCTAAAATGTTCTGCTGACTCTGAAACTTTAATTCATCTATTTGCCTTTGCTTCTACAGTTCTGTGATGTCTCTTAAAATGCAATTATTTTTGTAATTTATCCAGATGTTAGTAGCAGCAGCAACACCCTGCCATGGCCTATTACATCCTACTTGGAAGTGGAAGCTAAATCATTACATGAAAAACCTATATTTTTGATACTATGTACTATCCTTACCTGCAAGGCCAGGTTTCAATCCTGGTTGCTTGTTTGTTTCATACATTTTCAATATAAAATTGGGGATTCCTGCTACAGTCTTTCCTTGGTCTGAGCGGGCACCTCCTTTTAATGCAGAGTGGTATATCCCACGAGGCATATTCACCATTTCTTGCTTCACAAGTGATGTAAAGAATTCCTCCAAAGCTAAAAGAGGATAAAAGGAGACCAAAAGTAGAATAAATGCAATAAGCTAGAAGAGAAACATTCGTTCTTAATTCATATAGAAACAACTAAGCTACATTTCTGGCCAAACCTTACATGGTAAAAAGAGAACTCTTGATCCCCATCCCTTTCTTAGTCTTCCTCCAAATTAAAACATGGCACCAAGTTGCTCAAACTTAATTCTTCTCTTTCCCTCACTTCTTACATGTAATCCATTAGCAAGTCCTTCTGATTCCACCTTCAAAATCTATCCCAAATCCATCAATTTCTCTCCATTTTTCACTGCTATTTATCTACTTATTATCTTTTCTCCTCCTCATACAAACTAATGTAAAAACTAGTTTACTGAATTCTTTTCATCTTGACCACCCTCTATACACCTTCCTCTGCCCAGAGGCCAGAGTTTTGTCATTCCCGTCCCTAACACCTGCCAGTTGCTTTTCACTGGGCATAAAATAAAATCACAACTTCTGACCAAGATCAAGACCTTTTATGATCTAGCCCTGACTCCCCTCAGAGTCCTGACTCCCCTCGGAGTTAATTTCTAATACCCTACCTCCCTGCTATGTTGAATTCACACTTCCATATGGCCTCTTTCCATTCCTCAAAAACACAAAGTTGATATTTAAGTCAATGCCACTGCATTTGCTATCCCTTCCACCTGGAATGTATCAGTCCCACATTTTCATGAGAATGGCTCCTTCTTATCATTTAAGTGTTTTCAAAAAAACCTCTTTCATGACTATCTATTCTTAGCAATATTAGTACAATTATTCTAAAATGAGATATTTCTTTGCCTGTGTTCCTTCTAATTAAGCCCATGATCTTTATTGTTTGACATTTTACTTACCATATAATAACACAGAAATGTGATATCAGAAGACAACAGGATGCACAAACAAAATATTTGATAAGACTATAAGTTTATATTCAAATGTGATTTTCCTAAGGACCACTAGAGGTTGCCCAATACAGAAACAAACAAAAAAAATTAAAACTCAACAAATCATATGGAATGGAAAATGGAAAAAAAACAAAAAACAACAACAACAAAAAAACACTGCATGGGGCTCTTATAGAAACAAAAAGCAAGGGTCCGCCTAACTGGAATTTCATTCTGAAAAGAGCTATCTAAAAGCCTCCTTTAAATGACTGTGATTGAATTACAGGCAGCAAGAGCTCACTGGAGCATTTATTATATACCCAGTTCTGACAGGACCCTCCTAGATGTAATCACGATTCTCCATTCAAAGTTCAAAAACACCAGTATGCGATGTTTTCCATTTACTCCTTCTTATGTATCCTCTATCCTTCTCAACCCTGCTCTTTGCACTGGAAAAACAGTCTTTAAAGAAAGGCATTAACAGACTCCCATGTCTGTCCTCTGGCTTCTGGTTGGTTTCAACCACTGGAGTCACTGGCAGGAAATCAAGGGGTGAAAACAGTAAAGTCAGGAGATGTATTCCCCAGACACAGGACTTCCTGCAGGATTGCTACAGGTTGCCTGCGTTCCTCTTTACTTAAAGTCTTGGCTCCCCTCAGGCACCCCTATTTATAATACAGATACTCTCTCTTCTTCTTCCTCCCCTTATCTCTGTAGGCCAGAGACATTAAGCAGTGTGAGATGGTTCACCATTTCTTGTGAGTTTCCCTTAACCTTGACAACATAACTGTAAATAGGTTCTTTATTAAACTCTCTTCAATTACTCAGTCTGAATGTACTCCCCACACCTTCTTGTCATAAGTGATCAATATACCATTTATACAAAAAAGATGAGTAATATCCGATTGTAGGCCATGTACCCCAATTTCTGCATACACATACACAGGGACTGCTTCAAAGTGGATATAATTATAGACTTTACAGAATGCAGCTATGAATCATCCGTTTGTGAGGGTAGAGGCACTATGATGAAAGAAAGTAAGTTCATCCTTTCTCAGAAGGGATCCTATTCTGGCAAAAGGTGAAACATGCCAAGGGGCAAGTATACATCTGCACATAGACTAACCCAGCAATGGAATTTTTCTGCTTACCAAGCTCTACAGTGAACTACAGATGTTTAACTAACACCAGTCCAGGGATTAATATAAATGAGGATAAGATGCCAGGAGGCTAAGTGTAGCTGATGTATAGAGCTTCATCTTCCCCTAAATATTAAGTTAGCAACTAGAATTTTTCCCATTGCTTTTGAGCTTTCCCCAATCTCTTTCTTACCAATGACCAGATGGGAATTTAAAAAGAAGCTGAAAATTCATAGGATACAAAGTGTCAGATATCAATTCTCAAAACAACCCAAATGTGCTTAACAGCTGAATGGATCAACAAACTGTGTTACATTCACACAATGAAATGTCAGTCAGCAATAAAAAAGAAAAAACAATTGATACAGGTAACTATTTGGAATAAATATAAAAAACTAGTGCTAATAATAATCCCAAAAGACACAATTCCACACACCATAATCCCAAATGCTGAAATTCTGGAAGATCAAAATTCCTTAAGTCTAAACTTCCTAACATCTAAAATCCCCAAAATCACAATCCCAAAAGGTTGAAATCCCAAATGCTGAAATCCTAAAAGCCTAATCCTGGGGTAGGAGTTAGTGCATTTTCAGTTGTACACAGGATAGCTGCATCATGTTAGGCAGAACTATTACCTTGTTACTATCTTTATTTGGAAGTTAAGGAGATGTATATGGGTGCCAGTTGACGAGGGGTGAACTTGTGAACTTAAGTGTCAACTTGGCTGGCTTAAGGAATACCTAGAAACCTGGTAAAGCATTATCTGGGGTTGGGGAATGTAAGGGTATTTCCAGAGGAGACTAGTATGTGAGTCTGAGTAGTGTACGGGGGAAACCTGCCCTTGATGTTGATGGGCACGATCCAGTTGTCCAGAGACCCAGAGAGAACAAATACAGAAGGTGAACTGCTCTCTCTATGAGAGCTGAGACAGGGTTCTGCTGCTGCTTTTGGACATCAGAACTCCAGGCTCACCAGCCTATAAGCTACAGGACTTACACCAGCAGCTCCCTGGGTCCTGAGGCTTTTGGTCTCAGATTGAGAGTTACATCACCCACTTCCCAGGTTCTGAGGCCTTCGGACTTGAATGGAGCCACACTACCAGCATCCCAATCTCCAGCTTGCAGACAGTCTGTCACACAACTTAGCCACCACAATCATGTAAGCCAATTATCCTAATCAATCCCCTCTCATATATCTATATACATATCCTATTGATTCTGTCAGAAGAAATGTGACTAAAATAGATTTGGTATTGGAGAAGCAAAATACCATTCCTTCTTACTATATTCCTTACAACAGAGTGGAAGAGAGATGCGAAATTGTTCTCTCACAAAAAGGTTGCAATAAGTTATGTGTACAAGGCTACTTAATGGTGAAAGAAGTTCAAGAGCTAATTATTATTGATGCTGCAAAAGCAGAAAATTGCTTATTTCCAATGGCTGAGCAATAACCAGACTTTCAAATGGAGAACATATACTCACCAAATTTGTAGACCACAACTACTCTCCAAATACAAGTGCAGTTCACATTTTGAAGATCACAGAAGTGAAAACACAGGCAAAAAACACAAGAAATCTCCCCTGCCAAATTATTCAATCATATACAACTTCCGCCCCTTCACACATAGTGCCAATTTGCTATGCTATGTATTTCATTTTTGCATCTATTCCAATACTGGAAATACAAATTGTATAAAGACTTCTAAAGAGTTCTAATTGGCTTTATGCATTTTTTTTTTTTTTTTTTTTTTACAAATCTGACTCCACAAAAACGCATTATCACAACACTGACTTTGTGTGTACGTATCGTGTACGTATGTAAAAATGTTGAAACTTCCTCAATAAGTAGAGGTGTCATTTTGGTATATCTGCATTTGTGAAACATAAAATATCTTGAGATCTCAATTCTTTGAATGACTGCATATGCAGTGGTGACCCGTTGAGGTTTTTGTTTGTTTGTTTTTTGTTTTTTGAGATGGAGTCTCTCCGTGTTGCCCACACTGGAGTGCAGTGGTGAGATCTTGGCTCACTGCAACCTCCACCCCAGGTTCAAGTGATTCTCCTGTCTCAGCCTCCTGAGTAAATGGAATTACAGGTGACTGCCACCATGCCCGGCTAATTTTTGTATTTCTATTAGAGGCAGGGTTTCACCATGTTGGCCAGGCTGGACTTGAGCTCGAGATTTTTGACTGATTTTGTCAAAAGACTTCAGTTGTGCATCAGAGTATTTCAGATGACTGCAGTTACAAAGCTGGGAGCTACAACCACCAATCATAGTGATAAGCATTTATTTGTTCTGAGGGCCATTTATTTATGGATACAGTTCATCTGCTCCTAATTGTTATATTGTGGCTGTTGTTAGTATATCTGTTTATGATTGCAAAAATATGTACATTACTTTGCCTATTTTATTGTATAAAGTGATCTATGAAGTGCTCTATTGTGTTATGTTTCTCAAGTAAATTGCATTTTTAAATATAAATATACATCTTTTAAAAAACTTTTCATTATTTTTTCTAGAATTATATTTTTGAGATTTCAGAATTGTGATTTTGAGGATTTTAGACTTTAGGTATTTTAATCTTTCAGGATTTCAACAATTACAATTATGGTGTTTGGGATTTGATCTTTTAGGGTGATGGCCCAAACCCCTCAAGGACACTTGAGGGGAAAAGAAATAGCTAATCCCATAAGTTTACACATACTTGGGGAAAAAAACCTACAAAATTCAAATTGGTCTACAGTTTAAGTTAGTAATATTGTGCCAATGTCAGTTTTCTGGTTTTAATATCATACTATGGTTATGTGAAATGTTATCAAGTAAAGCACCAGGGCAAAAAAGGTACACAGAACTCTCTAAACTGCTTTTGTAACTTCTTGCAAGTGTAAAATTATTTCAAAACTTTTTAAAAATAATATCAATAACATCTCTATTCAAATAATGCAAATTCCTAGATTCACTTTACAGCTGTTTTTTTGTTCATTTGAAAGGAATTAAAAGGAGGAAGGGGCAGGATTCAACTTAAATTCAGCACAATCCACTTTTCTGCCTGTAGCATTTGGTGACTAATATATATTATTCACCCTGTGCATTTTAGGGTATATATTCCTAAGACTGGTGCCTTTTTTCTGGTTCTTTTTCTAGTTCTCTAGTAATCAAAGGAACACTTTCTATAGTTCTCTAATAATCAACGAAGAAATGTCCATGGGGACAGTTTGCCAACATAGCATCTAGATCACCCACCTCACTCAAATTACTAAATTTTCTCAAACAAATACAGTTGTTGATCTCAACTCTTCCACTTCTTTCTCAAGCAAAGGTACTGGGAACCACCAAGTACAAACAATGTAGAAGCGCCAGGTAATAGCCACCATAGCACTGCACATTCTGTACTGAGAGGACAAACAACAGCACCCCTTGGCAACAAATATCCCCCCACTTCTTCTGACACCACAGACTGTGATGGGGGATACATATATGAGTGAAAAAATACCATTTAAAAAACCCCAAAGGACTTTTGACTCTAGGTTATTTCAGGTTAAAGAAAGAACTTTGGATAACTGAAGCCTTTTTCCTTCCTTGGACTCATGTTAACTTCAGGGAGGTCTTAAGACTCTGAAAAGCTAAGAGGTAGGAAGTGGGGAAGAACAGAAGAGAGGAAGAGTGAACAAGTCTTTGAGGATTCTTTCTAGATACCAGGAGAAGAGAAAAGGTGAACTCTTTGTCTAACTTGGCCATTCAGTTTTCTCTAATAAAAGGAGGCAGGGAATTGTAAAAGAAGCTTTGCCTAGAAATAAATAGTATATATTTGGCTGAATTTCCCAGGAATTTCCATGAGGGATGAAACAAGGGGGAAAAAACTTCCACCATTACAGGCTAGTATGATTATGACTGAGAAGATAAAATGGCATTTTTTGCTTTCATTGAACTTCATTTCCAGAAATTAAATTTTTACATCCATGAACATTCAAAGTAGAATTGTAACAAAACTAAGCAAGATGTTGTCTAATATAGAAAAGCTACTTAAGCACAATAAATCACTTGGGGAATTTTTAAATAACTTTTTAATGATCAGAAAATAATATTCAAAATAAAATAACGTAAATTCCTAATCACAGTCCACAATCAAACATATTTTTCGAATGGTATCATCTACCATTTCTTGGGTAGGGCATATAGTAACAGGGGCAGGTGAGAACTTCTAAACACAATATACATATAGAATAATTACCACATATAAGCATTAGAATGCTTTATTTTGTGTGTGTGTGTGTGTGTGTGTGTGTGTGTGTGTGTGAGACAGAGTCTCGCTCTGTCACCCAGACTGGAATGCAGTGGCATGATCCCAGCTGCCTGCAACCTCCACCTCCCAGGTTCAAGTGATTCTTGTGCCTCAGCCACCCAAGTAGCTGGAACTGCAGCATGCACCACCACACCATGCTAATTTTGTGTTTAAGTCCTGACCTCAAGCAATCTGCCTGCCTCAGCCCCCCAAAGTGTTGGGATTACAGGCGTAGCCGTCACACCCAGCCTATTTTTTAAAAGCTAAAGGCCCTATAAGTTTTACATCAGAGCTGAATGACCATATGATCTGATCCATCTTTGAAAAGCATTAATTTATAGCTCTCAAATAAATCAGTAACATCTTTGGCATAACTCTATAGAAAGAATAAATGTATAATAATGAACTACTCAGTAAATCTCTGAATAGTCTAATGATCTTTTCACTCGGCTTATATAATGAAGTATTATTTAAATCAATGACCTAGAGTACCAGTGCAAATTCATCTTGTGGAATACATTTAGCCTTTCAAATGAATTTTAATTATCAGTGAACGCAGTCGTTTACACTAGTTTTCTTGTACAATGCTACTCAGATCTAATGTTTTTTCATATGATTTAAACACCATACTACCTCAAGCTGTTTCGATAGAACAGATGGGTGCATTTAACATTCTGGTTAAAAAATATGCACATAAGGTTAAACTATAGTATGTACCTATCACAAAAGAATATAATCAGACAAATCCAATCACTAAAAAATGCTAGCTTCTCTACTAACAAATAGGAGTCACCTGGTAAAACCAAAGAGGGGGTGAGTGACAACAGTTTGAGATAGCAAGAGCCAGGAACTGAAAGATCCACATCCTCATCATCTTCATCGTCATCCAACTCTTCAGGAATGGGAATTTCTGGTCTTATCTGAAATGATAAGTGAAAAAATCATAGAGAGGATAATAATAAAACATTATGCAAAATCTTTTCTGTATCCTTTTTGTGACAAGATTTTAAAATTTTGTTAGACTCCATCACTCTATAACATAAAAGACCATTGAAATTAATTTTTTAAATCTATTCATTTTTCAGATTAACTAAATGGTCATGACTCTAGTCATCTTATTAGACACAATCTCAGATCCATATAAAAAGCTAATGTTAATACAGTAAATCACTGTAAGTCACCATAAGCAATAATTACTATAGAAAACTAATAAAATCCTATACCATCCAAAAATAAAATGCAAACACTGATATACTCAATATATTTAACTTCTATAGCTCACAGTTAAATATTTGCCTTGTCTGAACACCTTTTTAAAAATTTGTGATTCTAGTAATACTTCCATGACAAGCTTAAAATCTTCCAGTAGAATATATAGTAGAGCTCAGGGAACAACAGAATGCTTTAGTTGACTTTTTTTTTTTTTAAAGACTTGGCAGTTTGTTGCTATGGAATACAAAAACACTAAAATCTGTAATTGGTAGCTGTACATTATTGTGTCTAATTTGCATTTTGAAGATTTTGTGGTTGCTCTTTGATTAGCTAGGTTTGTTTGAACCAAAAATGAAAAATGTAAAAAGATTTCCACATTGTTTTCATAAGATGTAACTGTTAAGCAATTAATTAAATTTTTAATACCTTCAATGACACTCTATCATAATGCCCACATGGAGATAATTAAGCATTAGGGGAAGAAATCAAAATATATAAAAGTGGTTTCTATAACCATAAAGTGCCAGAATCCAGTCATTACCATTAGCCTGTCTCCCAGATTTATTTTTAGAAATAATTAACAATGCCTGCAGACCGCCGTCTTCATAGGTCCCCAAAGCACTGTTCCATTTAGGAACTGTACTGACTCAGGATTCTTGCAGGGGAGTAAAAGAAACAGAAAAGAAATGCTTCTCTTAAGTATAATAATCTCAACTCCAAAGAAGCCTTTCAACCATAACTAGTGTTCTCTTCACTAGTGAAGGAGAAGTGAAAGCAACCTGACTACCCAAGCACTGTCCAAGACAGGATTTAATTCAGACTCAATATTAAGTACCTAATTCTCAGAGGGCTGAATCAGCCATACTTACAAAGATAACTATCAAGTATACTCTAGATAGGGTATGAAAGCGTCTGTCAAAATCACTGCGTATCAGAGAAACTCTGGCATGTTCACAAACCTTTTAATTCTGACCAGTAGGGTTTTACAAGTGTCTGGTCTGTGTGAATACTCAGTCTTCCAGGTTTACTCTCATCAAGAGTTGTCTTAAAGATTCTAACCAATCCTAGTGGCCTAAAAAGTCCTAAGAAAGAAGTTGGTTCTGAGTCCTTCTGTCTTGCTTCCTGACATTTTACACATCATAGTAACTTGGGAAAACAGAAAAACAGAGTTACTATATGGTCTAGGAGTTTCACTCCTAGGTATACATACAACCAAGAGAAATGAAAATACATGATCACGCAAAAGCTTGCATAAGTATTATTTATAATAGCCCCAAAACGGATGCAGCCCAACCGTTCATCAATTGATGGAATATATAAACAAAATATAGTATAAATCAATACCATGAAATATTATCCAGCCATAAAAAGGAATAAAGTACAAATACATGCTACACATGAAAGAATCTTGAAAGCACTATGCTAAGTGAAGAAAGCCCGTCACAAAAGACCACATCTTGTGTACTTCCATTTATAGGAAAGGTTCAGAATAAGCAAACTTACAGAGGCAGAAAGCGGATTAGTGGTTGCTTAGGTCTGGGAGAGGGAATGGAGTAATGGAGACTGACTGCTAATAGAGTTTCTTTTAGGGGGGAAAATGTTCTAAAATTAGATTGTGGTTACTCTGTGACTAGTTGCACAACTGTTTCAATATAGTAAAACCACTAAATTGTATACTTTAAATGGGTAAGTCGTACAGTATGTAAATCATATGTCAAGGAAGGAAGGAAGGAATGAAGGAGGGAGGGAGGGAGAGAAGGAAGGAAGGAAGGAAGGAAGGAAGGAAGGAAGGAAGGA